ACCTTGCGTGAACTCGTTGCCCAGCGATTTCTCAACTTTGGGCTTCCAAGAAAGGATTGCATTACTTTAGGTTGTGCATCTTGGGAGTTGATGAGGACTGGAAAGTTACGAGAGAAGCGAGACCAAGAGCCAGTCAATCATTAGAATATGCGACTTCTCTTCATAGTCTGTGTTCAATTACTTTATCTTTATGTCAGTCACTGTTAGTCTGTCTGGGCCAATGTTGGAGGCGTCTCCCCGAACTGCAGTCCTGCCCGAACGCGAATGGATATCCTACCCGCGATTGCCGGCAGAAAAAAAGGTGGGACTGTCTCAGAATAGGGGGTCCCTGCTCCGAAGATATGAGGTGCATGGTTTTATTTCTCTCTACATAGGTCCATCATGGTCAACCCGAAAAGGGTGCCCCGGTCCTTGAGCTTTCCTCCCAACCGAAGCAGAGCGTTGAAAGTCTGCCCATGTACCTTCCGTCGAAAATTCGGGCTCAAGTTCAAATCTCTCCCTGGGCCCGCCTTTCTGGAAACACCCCCGAGAGATCACATCCAACCCGGCACTCAAGCCGACTCGGCCCTGCGGCCCAGGGAGCTGATCAAGTCCCCTGCCGGCTGCCAAAGCTTGGTGTCCCTGATGTCTTTGGTCAGCACCTGAGTCAAGTGACTCAAAACCCTTTGTAGTAAAAGGGTCGCAATCCCAGAACCATGCTTCAAAGAACTAAGGCGGAATTAATTCCGCAGCTCTTTATGGCAAGGGGATCGTCCCTTACTAACCGGATCATCTACCCGGGTTTTGATTGTGGCTCACCTGAGGTCAGCCACATCCAAGGCCAACGTCTTGTCAATCCACTGGAGCAAATTTGTCACTGTTTGCCCCTCAGCACCTCCCACACCGGGCCCAACTTGGGTAACTTTCCTTTGCCCACCGCTCGCTGGGAAGAACACTTGTCGCCGCCCAAGACAACATGCACCCAGGAACACACGCGCGCGCAAACGCGATCACTCCGTGTCGAGCAGAGGTGCGACCGTCATGAGGAGCACCCCCTCGGAGTTTGAGTACAAATGCGGGTCCGGCTGCACCACAATCTCGCCCACGAGCTTGCTGTGGCCGTCCCTCGCCAGCAGCTGTGGGGGCGCGCCTTAGGCACGGACGAAACAAACATGGGTGGGCAAAATTAGGCCACCAGGAACCGGACCGCAGGATTTAGTCTTTGGTTCCATTTACCAGGGCAACCCATTTTGGCTACCTATTATTGACCCACAAGCCATGGCTTTGGTTGCTGAAGTGGTCTGGAAACATCAAAAACTACCCGTCCCAGGCCCCTTTTGGTTTCCCTCTCTGGGTAAAGCCCAAAATTATGGTTGTTATTTGGTTATTTGCATCTATTTGGCACCCCGGGTCGGTTGCAAGACCTCGCAGGCGGTTTCATGAGGCTGTGGCTTGCTGGTTCGATAGGCAGGGAATGGGCTGCAACCCACACAAAACCATCCAACTGGTGGCTTCCTTGAAAGGCACATGGTGGACCTTCCAAATTGAGGTCCAATTTGATAACTTTCTCCGCAAACGAAGGCTTCCGGCTATACGCCCTGAAGGTACTTATATACATGCAGAAAGCATCCGTGGATCCCCTTGGCTCCCAGTAAAAAAGGCGGGTGCTCCCTTCGCCTCGAGCTCACTCGGCTGTCAGATCCCCTGCTAGAAGTTGGGGTTCAGTGGAACCAACAAGCTGAGGAGAAAAACAAAAAACTACCAACCTAAAAAGCCCAAAACGCCTCAAACAGCCTCAAAACACCTCAAAACCTTACAGCCACCCAGGCAAAACCCACGAAAAAAGACGGTCGGGAAGAAACTCGCCGCCGTTTCCTCGGGGCCCAGCCCGGGGCCCGGTTGCAGGCTGAGGGGCAGAGGGCCTTGCGGGCCACCCAGCTCTTGCAGGCCGCAGCCAGCTCCAGGCCCACGCCCTTCCCGAGGCGCCGCAAGGTCTCCCCGTCCAAAAGCATGAGATACGCCATCTTCTCCCCGATCCTCGGGATGGGTTTTTGGGTTTGGGTTGGGGGGTTCTGAGGGGTTCTGAGGGGGTTGGGTTGGGGTTGATCCTCCTTAGGTGTTGGTTGGGGGGTGGGTTGGAGGGTTGGGTTGGGGTTGGGGTTTTCTGGGGGTTTGGGTTGGGGTGGGTTGGGCTGGGTTGGGTTGGGTTGGGGTTGGTGGGGTTCTGGCTTTTGGGGGGGGGGTGGAGGGGTTCGACACTTAAAGGTGGACATTTTACACATTACCCCGAACGGAACTCACCCTTTATTTGGGCAATCAGGTGACTTTTAAAGGCACCAAAATTGGAAATAGGCTTGAACTGTGAAAGTGATATATTCGAGCTTTCCCAAAGAGGGAAATGAGGGCCCCTGCTTGAGTGGGGCGGGGAGGTGCAGAAGCTCGCATTCCACAAGAACATTGCCGTTTCCATGACAATGCCCAATGCCCACTTCTCCAAACGATCCAAGACCAAACCCTTGGCCTTCGGGCACCGCGAAACTGGGTTGTTGTTGACCCCCCTGCAAAAAGTTTTTAACTTTTTGGGGGTTTAGTGGAAACCACCTTTATTTCCCAAAAAGTTAAAGTCTAAAGATCCAAGCCAATAGCAGCCAAGTGGAAAATCGGAATAAACGCCTTGCGTCGCCCTCCACCTTGGCTGCCAACGACCCACCGCTTCCCGCCGCTTCCCGCCGCTTCCCGCCGCTTCCCGCCAGTCGCCCGCCCGTCCCGCCGGGCCGCTGCTTGGCGGCGGGTCGCAAGTCGTAGCGCACCGCGAAGGAGTAGGGCGGCTGCTGGGCCGACAGGCCGCTGCTGTCCCGCAGCTGCAGCAGGGACCGCTTGCCTTGGACGACCCGCCGGGAGAATCGGGAGAATCTGAGAAGCCGAGCTGGCGGTGGTCAAAAATACACCAGGGAACCTTCAGGTTTCAGTCCATGTGTCCATTTGCCAAAAATCCGTTTGCGATTTGGCTTCCGTGAAGAGAATCCGCAGGTTCATTCCATTTCTCATTCCCTATCGCACCAGCAAGTGAACAAGATGCCCTGTGGACACATGGCTGTGGTGGTCAAAAATAGGGTAACCATTTCCAAAATGGGTTGCCCTGGGAAATGGAAACATGGACGATAATCTGCGGTCCGATTCCTGGTGGTTGAATTTTGGCCCATGCCCATGTCTGGCCCGGGGTGTCTCAAAGGTACCTTTCCCGGCCAAGCTTGACACAGAGCAATCGCCTTTTTCCCAGTTTGGAGCCGACCCAGAAAGACCCGTGGGGGGGTGTGGGGGTGGGGGTGGGGGTGGGGGTGGGGGTGGGGGTGTGGGTGTGTGGGTGGGGAGGTGGGCCGGGGCATCCCTGAAATCGTGACGTCCGTCGAAGACTTTGCAATCAGCTCTGGCCAGGCCACAGAAATGCCCAGGCCACAAGGGCGGGGGCCAAAGCTCATCTGGCTGATCCTGGCAACCCTTTTTTTACGCGTCAGTTTCCCTCAACAAGTTGAGAACGGGTAGGAAAGGTAGGATACCGTAAAGTGCGGCTTCCCCGAATTTGTCCTCTAAAAGAAGGGAAGGTGCGCCATGAAGCTCAACAGCTACAGGCAATGTCCGTTCCGCAAAAAAGCGAAGTACTTGTTGACCATGTGACGTGGGGCACCTGACGAAGCGAGGGAGGGGGCAGAGGGCCCGAGCCGCGTCTTTGAACCGAGCCTTTCAAGGACTTGGTGTGTTGGGAATGCAACCTTCAGCAAGGGCAGCTCGAAGCCTTGCAGGTCTCTTTCCAAGCCCTCCCAACCGCAGAAATAAAGCCCCTGGGCCACATGTTCGCAGACCCCACCTCTGAGCTGTCCATTTTCAGATCCGCTAGAAGTGACCAACTTGTTGTGGGTTAAATTCGGACCCCCCCCCCCCCACACTAAACCAACCAAAAGGTTGTAAAAAGGCGAAGGAACCGGATGCCCGGGAGCCACCAAGACCTTGGTGAAACCGTCAACGACACCCGATCACCCACCCGATCACCGCGCCTTGGGCACCTCTGCCAGGCAATCCTCGAGGCTGTCCGCGCCCACCTGTCGCGTGCTTTTCTTGCTTTATCCAACATCGAGGAGGCGAAACGAGTTATGGGAAAATATATGAAACTGCCATACTGCCATGGGCAACATGCATGGGCACTCATCGCTTCACCCTTCATCCTTCAACCCCCTTGTTGGTTTCATGTGTGCGTGTGTGTGTGCGTGCGTGTGTGTGTGCGTGCGAGTGTGTGTGTATGTGTGGCAACACTTCCCCTTCTCCTTGTGGCGGCATTTCCCACGCCGAGAAGAAGCAAACAAAATACCGACCCCAGCGCCCCCCTCCTGCAGCGAGATCTCGGGGAAGTCCAGCCAGCTGCCCGGCGCAGTCTGGGGTCGGCCAACCCCCCGCTCCATGCGGCCCGCCTCTCCCCGCTCCGGGTCAGATCCCGGTGGCTTTTAGGGCCGAGAAATGTGGCGAGCGGAGCGGGCTGGGCAGCTTACCTTGGCACAGCCTGAAGTTTGCAAGGCTCTTTGGCATGTAGAACTGTTACACTTCCGCATGCCAAGCTCTGTTCAGAAGTAGCAACCCCGTCAAACTGCTTCCAAGTCATTGTCAACATGACCCAAGTGCATGCCAGCCCCCAAGTGCTTCAGCCATTGCCAGCAGCCCGTGTGTCTTTTTTGACTTCCCACGTTCATTGAACATGCAGAAGGGAAGGATGGCGGGTTTCGGCCACTGCGCCTGGAAAGTGTTGATCCTAAGGGGCAATGCCCTTTTTGCTCACTTGCCCAAACGGACCCAGAAAATAAAAGGTTAACCTTCTGGGGCCATGACTAAAAATGCACCAAAACGGGAAAACCGAAAGGTTAAAAGGTCGATCCGCTTTGGGCAACTGAGTCTTAGCAATCCAGAAAGGGTGCGACTGGACTGCGCCGGCGTCTGCGAGCCACGCGCAGGGCCAGGCGTCTGGGTAGCCGGACCATGACCCCCTTGAGGCCAGCCGTCTTGGCTGCTGTCAGCTGGCTTCGTAGCTGCTCCTGCCAAACACCCCCGCGATTTGGGTCTTCAATGAATGGGGAAGCAGACGGCTCCCTTTTCCAGGTTGGCCTGGGGGTTGTCTTTGGGGGGATGTCTTTTGAATATCTGTGGGGGTCTCTTTGTGGATGTTGGTTGGGGATGCGTTTTGGCTTTGGGGGGGTATGCTCGTGGGATGTCTTTCAAGAATTTGGCCGGCGTCTGGGCTGTCTTTGGAGCTTTGGTGGAGTTTATGTGTCCTGGGGGAGGTCTGGATCTTGGGGCATGCTTTGGGGGCTTTGGGACATGTCTTCTGTTTCTTGGGTCCGGCGTGCCGAACTGCGAGCAGTTCAAAGTTCGGTCGAAAGCGCTCTTCGGACCCGCACGCTCCTTGTACCGCAGGGACTGTCCGTCGTCCGAGAGCCAGTCGAGCTGCAACATCACGAAAATTGGGACCTGTCGGAGGCTGCACCATACCAAAGGCCCACATCCTGAAACCCAAGAAGGTCCACCACGAACCATATTTGCACCAGCTACATGATGGAAGCCTCTCCATCCTTTTTCCGGGCGTGAACAGCCTGTTCCAGGCTCCCGGGGCAACAAAGGTGCCCGCCGCATTTGCAAGCAGCCCTTTCTGCGTTCCATGATGCATGGCTCCATGGCAAGGTGCTACAGCCTGTGACACCAGCCGCCTGCCCTCTGGAATACACTTAAACCCAGGGGTTTCTCTTTGGTGGGAATGAGCCCCTGGGTTTAAGTCCACCCTGAGATCGTCAAAAAGTAGAACCCTGCGTGAAATAATTCACAACTCACCCCACCTTGCCCGGCTCCACTGGCAGCTTCACCAGCTGCCGCCGTTTCCCCAGGCCGCTCCAGCAGCTGAACCTAGGCGCCGATTCCCGAGTCCCCAAACCCGCGAAAGCGCGCTGGTGGCAAGAGACAGTACCCTCTGCAAAAAAGGCGCAAGACTGGTGGTTGGTTCAGCGAACAAACATTTTCCCGACAACTTGAGGGTTTAAAGATCCAAGCAAATAATTCTCAGTTGTTCAGTGACCCTGGACAAAAGGGGATCCCTTTTTTGGGAAGACCATTTTTAGTGGGGCGGCCACCCCCGAACAAAACATGAAAAAGGGTGCCACTGAACAACTGAGAATTGGCAGTCAAGCATCCTGGCCGAAAGCGCCAAGAGACAGGCCGCTTGCCTATATCTTACTGCACAACCATTGCCCCTTCCCAGAAAAAGAAAGAGGCTGTTGGTCCCAACGCTGCTTAACTTATCTTCCGCATGTTGCTGCTGTCTCTGGGAATTGCCAACTTCAGTCAATGCATGGCTTGCTGTTCGCTAGGGAGGCGCTAGCTTGCTAGACTGAACAAGATACTCCTCATAGACTGCTACATGTCAACTGCACGCGCCGCAAAAAGCGACTTGGGGCCAGCAAGGCTGGCGGTCAACCACAACTGACCTTAAGAACTAGTCCCAGTATCTGGCCAGAAAGCCTTTTGGTGCCTGCGGTTTCGGGGTGCATGCCAGTATGCACGCGCATGAATAGCACTTTTTCGGGACATGTCCAAGAAGGGACTCACATGCCTTGAAAAACCTGTCCGGTAAATCAATTTTGCTAACCCGCAAAGGCCCAAGCTGGGTCCTGAGTCCCACCCCTGCATCGATGCCTTCCCTGCCAAGGCTCATCACCAATGGGCAAAGGCGGCTACAAAACTGTCCTGTTTGAGCCGCAACGGCTCCACTGGGCCTCAGAGTGTTGCGTGCCTTCGCCCTCTGAACACTGCCCCACGAAATAGAAGGGGAACCAAACGCACTGCCACACAAGCACGCATGCGCAAGCAAACAAGCAGGCAAGCAAACAACCAAGCCGGAAAGCAAAAGAGAAAGGCAACACCACAACACCGCACACCCACACAACACAGCAAACGAGTACCCAAAGCAGAATGCCCATGTTACACATGCACCGCCAGCCCTAGAACACTCCGCAACACCTCGCCCCGGCCGGTGAGACTGCCGTCGCTAGGCCCAAGAACACCCTAAAAGTCGTCTCTGGTTTAGAGGCTAGGGATGGTATCCCATGCGAATGATTGGCCATAGCTCTGACAGCGCACCTCGGCGACCATGCGAGTTGCGTTGGAACAGAGTGAAGTCCAGCCCAACGAAACAAACGCTGTCCAAAACAAAGCGCCCTGGGGCCCAGGATAGACCGTGTTTTGTCTGTCAGATTGTCTAAAGGACACCACACCTTTGCCCCCCCCACAGCTCGCCTCCAAAGACCTTGGCGCACTCAGAACAACTCAAAATCCAGCAAGGGCTAGCCATGTTTTCCCTGAGGAACCCCTGGCTGCGAGGAGGCTGCGTCGAGGAACCCTCTAAGGACAACGGCGCCGATGAGGGTAACGGTATTCTTGAGACCCGCACCAGAAGGAAAATCCACGGCCCCACGAATGTGGGCTCTAGCTCTGGTGAAGTCTCTTCTGGGATGCCCCCAAGTCTGTCCAAAGCCTGCACACTCCAGAAAGACTTCATCCACCCCCTTCTGTATGATTCACGTCATGCCCAGCCAACCAACATCTGCTCCAAGCCATCGTGCGCTGGGGCCGGGGGGGGGGGGGGGGTTCTAAGCGCCAGGCTCAAGCAGCTGCAACGCCACCTTGGTCACCACAGGGATGCTGAAGTGCCGGTGCACCTGGCCAAGGAGGGGGGAAAGTGGGTGGCTTGCTGCTTGGGGCGACAATTGTTGATGTGTTTGGTTTGTTGGCTTTTGGGTTGGGGGGTCAGGGCCGATAATAAGAAGCGGGCCACCAGACGGAAGAACCCTTGCACTAGCACCCCTTGTACCGAGATCGTGACGGGAGTCCCCACTATTCAGGAGATCTGCAAAATGTGGAATGATCTATCTGCACATTATGTCGTGAGGGTGTGCACATTCAGGAGCATATCGCAAAGCAGCATGTTAGGCACAGTCGTTCGCCATCTCTGGCTCCCTTCCAGCAAGGTGAGGAGAGAGGAGAGTGGCAGAAGGGTCAGAGGGTTTTTTGAGCAAAGCCATCTTGGCACTTCGCATTGACCGGCCTCCCCCCTTCCATCGCACCACGCCTCCTCGCATGCCAGATCCACCTTGTTGGCCACGGCCTCCCCTCCAACGATGACCTCCCGCATGGCCTGCGAAGAACCCCACGAAACGTGACCCGCCTTAGAAAATGTCCTATGCCCGTTGAAGCTTGCAACAGCTCTTGCCCCTGCCGGGACATTCGTGCCATTCCGTTCGGGAGATCTGCAATTTCCCCCAACCGGGCTCAAGGAGATTCCGCCTGAAGACCCTTGCCATGCCTCCACCACCAGAAAACCAAAAAACGACCACCCAGGAAATCAACCGTAAAGCACACACAAGTCGGGTGGGAGGCTCAAGTGGTTGGGGGGTGGTGCCTCGCCACGCACCGAAGCTGACCCATTGGCTTCAATTGCCTCCGTCCAAATCATGACAAGCAACCCCAAATCTTCAACCAAATCCCATTCCCCCCCCCCCCCTTCCTCCACGCTTGCACCCCAAACCGGCAACCACCACCCACCACCCCGCAAGCAAGCAAACAAAACCATATATTGAAGCAAGACTCCAACAAGACAAGCAAAACACCCACGCCAGCCGCCAAGTGCTCTCGCCGCCGCGCCGCCGCGTCGCCCTTTTCTCTTTTCACCCCGAGGAGGCCGAAGCCGAAGCGCCGCTCAAGTCCTCCGCCAGCTTCATGGCGTCCAGCAGCGCCGCTTGGGTGCGGTCCAGGGAGAGGGACACCTGCTTCGCGTGCATCTCCTGGCCGCTTCACCGGTTCTCAGGGATGAAAGCCGTTTCAATGGAGTTATGAGGACTCAAAACAAAACCCGGTGGTTCCCTGCGAGGTAACCGTTCAAGGCAACCAGGTCGCGGAATTTTGGGAGGTTTGCTGGAGCCTCGGAGCTCTCTCGGAGCTCTCGTTGTCAGCGAAATCGTCGCCTTTATGTGTCCATGTGATGCAAGGCATATTTCGCCTGTCTCAAAACGCCGTACCCCTTAGAAGAAAGCCTCGCCCGGTGGATGCACCCCAAGGAACCAAATCACCCGCCAGTCAGTCGCCCCAGGCTCGGGGCTCCTTGAAGTTCAGCTCCTCCTGCAAAACGTGGGGTAGGGCCCAGGGCCAAGGGTCGGCCCAAAAACAAAGAAATTGTCATTGTCTTTTCAAGGGTGGGCGGTGTTCAAAGGAAGCCGAAGATCCCCCTACCCAAGTCCCAATCTTCCAACCAATTTATAGTCATTTCCAAGGTGGTTCGAGATGAAGAAGGTGAGCACTGAGGATTCATAGGATTCGATTTGTTTCTTCTGTTGGCTCGGGGCGTCGCAAACTTCAGAACGAGGAGGTGGAAGAAAGCTGCAGCGTCTCCAGTTTTTGGTCATCAGGCGCGAGTTCGAACGCCAGCTGCGGGAATAATTGCAAATCACATAGGCCACACGCCTCCACAGTGTACGCCGCGCTTTGCCACACAACTACCATCAAGTACCTGTTTGCGCCCCACGCCTGAAAACAATGTGGCGTTCAGCCAAGGTAAAGCGCGCAGTTGGCGCTGATTCGATGGCACTCCACTCCAACGCACACAGTTGGACCAGTGGCCTGTGGGGATGCTTTCCCCACCCACCACGCCAGTTTTGTCGTCATCCAATCTGTGAGTTCGAACGCCAGCTGCGGGAATGCAAACGCCGTGTTTTGCCGTGCAACTAGCTGTTTGCGTCGCGCCCCTGCGAAATGAAGGAAGTTGTCAGGCAACACAAAGCGTGCAGTTGATGCCTTGCTGTGCGAGTACCCACCCTTCGATGGGACTACGCATGCAGTTGGACCAGTTGCCTGCGAGGATGCCTTCCCCACCGGGGACGCGCCATCGACGCGACTTTGCACAAGCTGATGCGACTTGACCCCGCTCAGCACGGTGCAAAAGGATGGAGACTCCAGCATGCCAAGACAGGCGGAGCAGGGAGGACTCGAACCCAACCAGGGGGGTCATTGGGAATAGCAGCAATCGGACGGGAATCAAGAAGTCAGGATCACCACCACATGGACTTGCTACCGCAAGAAACAGCGAAAAGCTAGTCGTGACTTGTCTGTCTTGCGGGGGTTTCGGTTTTCATCTGCAATAAACTGAACGGAACGTCGAACTACTCTTTCACTAAACACAACTTCTGCGACTTGGCAATCACAACCTGGCCGCCTCACAATAGCGCTCGAATGGGGAGAAGATGCCAACCACGGATAGGTCGACGTGTGGGCTGGCGTGTTCCCAGCTCGCTTCCAAGTGAGAGACCCGAGACCAGCTGCCTACGCAGCTACAAGCCTACGGGAAGCTCGCCTGCGGAAGCAAGGGGGCCCGTATCAATTTGCGTGCGCATCAAGATCAGGATAGGGGGGATGGGGGACCTTGCGGAGATGGCATTCAACCCCAGGCTGGCGTACAAACGTGAGGGACCGTGCAGTAATAGAATTCAACACCAGACTGGCGTACAATTGCCAACGTTTTGCAAGAAAGGTGCGATTTCCCTGTAAAACTACCCACAAAAGGGCAACGAAACAACAACTTTTGCCACGCTGAGATGTCGGCGTGTGCTTTTGGGAAGTTGGCATCACAAAGGCTTTTCCTACATGAACGCGCGTGCGGTTTGGGATGCGCCTCGGAAGCCCCCGGAAGCCCAACCGCGAGGTTTCTAAATGGATCTGCTGGCTCGGCGCAGTGTGCGGTCTCTGCAGGCTCCAAGCCGAGTTCAAACTCAAGCTTTCAGATGTAGCGAGTTCGTCATGTCAATTTCGACATCCGGAGAAAAGACCTTCGTTCGGCCCCATCCAAACTTCCATTCCCACCCTCCCAGCCACATACCCAGGCATACAACTGGGTTCCGTAAAACGTCCCCTTGAACCCAAAGCGCGGGGCAACTCATCCTCTTGAAGCGCTCATGGGGAGCTTGAAACCAGAAAGAAAGGGCTGCCCGCAAGGACACATGCACGCAGATGGATCTCCATTGAAGCGGATTGTAACCCGAATTTGTCTCTAAGGGGTGGTGGGACCCAAAAAAGGGGTGCCAAAGAAGATGCTCTCCAATATTGGAAGTACGCGTATGGGCTTCCTGTGGTTCACCATGCCGGTTGCTTCATTTTCAGCTCAAGTCTTCGCCGAGCTCGCCTGGAGCTTGCGGACCATTGACTATGGACCTCCGTGCTCGGTACAGAATGTACAGCATCCAAGGCCTATTGTCCCATGGTCGTCAGCCCCGAGATCTCAAAACAGGCACCCCAAAACATGCAAGAACGCCCTAGTAGGCCTCATCGGGCGTATGAGCCCCTATTCAAATTGAGGTCCCCTGTTTGGGGGGTTGACAACCATAGGATGTTGTTTGACGTTGGGTCTATGAGCGCTGATCTTTGCAGCTCAACTTTGGTTTGATTTTTCTTCAGGCAACGGCCAGTAGTGTCCATGCCTGGCATCGTCTCACAAGTCCTGTGAAGGAGCGGTGACCCAATGAGTCCACAGGTTCACCTTGTCGACTCCGACATGGGCAAACATCGGGCACCACCCGCCCAGGTGCATCTCCCACGAGCTGTCGTTGCAGGGCGAGGGGCTGGGGCCTCGAGTTCTCGAGTTTTGGTCTTGTTGGAGGTTGCCCTTAAGGGAAACCAAAAGAAGCCTTGTTCCAACACAACCCACATTCCAACAGTCACAAAGCAAAAAGTAAGCTTGCGTATAGCTGGTGGTCCACGAAACATTCGAAGAGCAGCCTAAGTCAAAATGAAACAAAGGACTCCTTTGGAGCTCGTCTCATGAGGGAGCCGTAAAATTGGCTAAAACTGTTAGCATAGATTAGCATATCCACGAAAAGGGCACCTGAACGGACAAACGCAGCCATTCGACAGGGCAGCGGTTCTCAATTTCCCAAACCGAGGGGCAAAAGCCGTTGGGGCACGAGGGCTCTTCAAACTCTGACTGGGCGAAGGAGCGCACGCCCGCGAGGTTCAGCGGGCACGTGGGCAAGGCAAGAGAATGCGATCTCCCGGCCTAGGGATCACTTGGTTGACGTTGGGTTTGGGGAGCAAAAATGAGTAAATTTTAGCAGTTCAGCGGATTTGGATTTCAAGCACTAAACAGCAATAAGCAAAAATGGGAAACATGATTCCCAACAACAACCATGATTAGATGAACATATGCCAACATGTAAATCAAGAAGCCATCGAGGGGAATACACCAATTGCAGAAAGTCCGTAAAAAAAATTTTGGCCCCGCCCTGCTTCACGGGTGCACACTGGCAGGGGAGGCAGGGCCACATCTCACATCCTATGTGTGGATTTGTTGGGTGGGTTTACCTACTAGGAGTGAAGAAATGGGCATCCCAAATGCATTCCGACGAAGAAAGGCAGCGTCAAGCTTAGTTTCGTTTGCTGTTGTTTTTCCTAAGCCTTGCCTTGAGTACTTCTAAAGGGGACCCTGCTTTTGAACCCCCAACCTGTTTTTGCTGGCCCATAAACCAAAGGAAACCTGGGGGTCAAAAACGAGGGTCGGAACACCGAGCCCCACGTCCAAAACTTCTGGCCCTGCCGCCTCGTTTTTCGCTTCGGTGCTCGGCCGGGGCAGTGGCACAGAGCCGTTGTTGCACTGGCCGATGGGCAAGAAGAAGTTGCCTTTGCACATGGCTTTGGGAGAAGAGACGCCCACCCTTTGCTTGGCCGGTTGGTCTGGTCCGAACAGGAAACCAAACAAGAAAAAGGAAGCAGGTTGGAAAAAACTGCAGAACGAGCGCTTTTCAAAGGGGAGGAAAACCAATTCAACGAACAAGGAAAAAGGATATAGCCCTGACAAGGCAGGGAACCTGCCTGTCAGAAGGAATGAAAACGCCTCTTCGTGACCGGGTGGCTGCCGGGGGCTCGGATCGACAAGCGCGGGCTGCCAGCAAATGTCAAAGGGCCCGGGCTCTTGCGGCACTTGCGCAAATCCTCCCGGCACCGCGGCTGGCGAAGAAGCTGCTCAATGGAATTTAGGGGATTTCCTTCGGGCGTGTGTGTCCGTGTTGTTCGCGCGCTTGCCTGCCTGCATGCTTGCTGGCTTGCTGACGTGAGTGGTGAATGGGCTTCTTACGGGCTTGTTTGATTGCGTGTTGTATTTGTCTGCTTGCACTGCAAGTTTTCTTGCTGGCCTGACCCCGCGGAATGAAGCTGGAAAACATCTCGGAACCTCCCAGTTTTTGGATTCCCGAATTGGGCCTTTCAGTTTCAATCAGCAAGAGGTTGCCCGTTGGATTGACCCTGTTCGTTCTGTTCCTTGCTGCAAGTGCCGCACTGTATAGCATGATGTGAAACAAGACCCAACACCAATTGTGAAACCATTGGCTACATGTGGGGTCATATGTTTCATAGACGGGCAAACCGACGAGGCGCGACAGGGTTAAGGCTGTTGGCGATAGATGTGACAGAGCCTGTGACACGCAGCTGTGACTGACCAACTGCGACAGCCAGAAGCTGAGGAAGCCTCTGCCCACCAGCGCCGCACGAGGAGGGTTTTGTTGCCACTTAACAAAGCCTCTTGGGCAAGATCCTCAAAGGAGCGAAGGTGCAACTCCAGCTTCCACACCGTCTCCGAATTCGGCTCATGGTTGCCCTCCACATTGGCCGGGGCGTCGTTGCACCGTGTCTGGCAGCGACGCCATCCTGGTGGTCTGCGCGGCACGAACTGGCGGGCCAGGCACCCTTAACCCTGAACTTCATGAATCGGCTAGTGCTCGGAGTGGCCAGACGTGCGAGACTCATCGTCACACAAACGCGCCAGGCGCGACGGCCCTCCTCCAGCGGGCTCCATGTAGCAGAGGCGTTGACCAACTGCAGAGCAAGACGCTTTGCTTCCTCTTCCCTCCCTGACAATCGTCTAGAAGTTCCTCACCTGCTTCTCCTGGTTGACAATGAAGGCGTGGAGCGGTTGTCCGGCTTGCGGCAGTTTTGCTTCAGCTCGTTGGAGGCGCTTGTTGTCATCGGCCGTTGTGGGCGTTGTGCGTCCGCCTGCCCACGATGAGGTCATTTGTCAGCGCCTCAGACTCTCTCTCCTCTCTCTTCATGCTGAAAGCCACCATGCTCCATCCAGCTCGGACAGGTCGCGGCTGATGTCCAGGCCGCTGAAATGCGGGATGTGGGCCGCACGGCGGACCAAGGAGTCTCGCGCTCTGAGCGTGGCCCACAATGCAGGGTGCCCTCAGCAATCCCAGCACCTTTACGCGTCATCCGCTGCCAGGTGAGCAGCCATGCCCTGGATCTCCGGCTCGGGCTGGCCCTTCGAAGAGGTCCCGGACGTCCTCCATCCTCGCCCTTTTCCCGTGGGAGGGGGGTCACAAGGCGTGAGTCTACCCCATCCCCAGGATCGGGCCGAATTGATCAGGATGCATGAGGTCTGGAGGCCTTGCATGAGTACATTTTCACAACGCGATTCCTCACTTCCTGTTTGGTTCGACTGAGTTTCTTTGCCAGTGCATCAGCCAGCAGCAGGCACCTGTTGATTTGCAGTCTTAGGTGGGGATTGCTCGAGGTAAAGAAACTACTTTTGTCAGTCTTGCAACCGCCTCCTGACACCAGTTGTCGAAGACGGCCGTTCCTTGTTCGCCTAACCCACAGAAGGTGCTTCTCAAAGTTCGGATTGGTTCAGGCTGGGTTTGTTTGGGGATCAAGCGGCTTTAAAACGCCAGGTTGGAGCTTCTTTCCCAGTTACCTCAAGGCTACCTTGAGGTGCAGCCCCAAAGCTGGCGAAGCAACGCATCAAAGTCATCACGCTTGATCCCCAAACAAACCCGCCCTAAACCAACCCAGCCAACCAACCAACCAACCAACCAGCCAGCCAGCCTGCCTGCCTACACACACACACACACTTTCCTTTCGTGGAACACCGACAAGGACTGCGTTGCGAGGCCGATGTCCCCCGTTTCTGGCCTCCTGGG